CAGCCCGACGGCGGCGACAGAGTGATCGGCCTCCTGCCGACGGTCGCGGGCGTGCGGTCCCGAGCGCGAGCCAACACCACAGACCGCTGGTCGGAAGCGCTCGCGGAGCACTGGGACACCGCTATGAAAGATAGTTCCGCTCTTCGCGCAGCGCTCGTTCGCGAGCGGTCATGGATGAGAGCGCAGTCTCCTCAGGGTTCTTTGCGGCGTCTACTCCTTCTCGATCTCGAGATACTGCACGGTGATGTGAGCCTGCCGATACTGACGGAGTCCTCGATGGCCCAGGGTGACCCTCCCGTGCTGGCCCTCCTGGAGGCCCAATTTTTTCTGGCCCCGCGTTTTTCTTATGTCCAGGGCCACGTGCAGTGACTGGGCTTTTCCTGGGCCCTTGGTCGCTGCGGTCTCGGGAAACGGGGCGGAGGTGGCCAAAGGTTTTTCACGGGCCGATCTTCCGGCACGCGCACGGTCGATCGAGTGCTCCCGCGGCGGCTCCAGTTGGATGGTAGACCTTCGTGGGCGACAGTCGAGGAGGAGGAGGAGGAGGAGGAGGAGGAGGAGGAGGAGGAGGAGGAGGAGGAGGAGGAGGAGAGGGAGGGGGTTCAGTCGATTGTCCGACAGCAGTGGCGCGCCGTGGGGGCCCAGTTGGTGGCCTCTTTCGCGGAGGCCCGGCCGCCGACGTCGGACAAGAGGAACATGGCCACTGCTGCGCCTCCTCTCGGCCTTGTCCTGGACCGTGACTTCTGAAGGAGGTCGGTCTTCCGTTCTCTCGAGTGTCATGTGCAGTCACTCTTCTCCTCCTCCTTCTCCTCCTCCTCCTCTTCCCTCCTCCTTCCGCATTCCTCCTCCCCCCTCCTCCTCCTGCTCCTCCTCCTCATCATCATCCTCATGTGCAGTCGATCTCGGGTGTGATACGGCTGGTGGCGCGAGGCGCGTGGTCAGAACCTTGCGCCAGAGGGGCGCCAAGGGCCGCCCTCGAGCTGGCAGGAGCCCTCGGCTCCGCAGGCGTGCGAGCGCTCTCCTGCAGCTTCCGAGGGGCCCGCTCCTCCAGGGCCCCCCCCCCGCCCTCCCACGGGCTTCTGGCCCTCGGACCGCCAGAGACAGAACCGGAGCGAAGACCGGCCATGGGTGG